GACCTTCCGATTGCGAGTCGAGCGTCCTAACCACCTAGCCATTTTATATTATCAGACTACATCAACAACAGCTGTTATAGTGTGAACTGGGTTAAGTTGATAAAGTGTAATTATATATTACTTACATTCAGTTCAAAATTGGGGTAAGGATTATTGACACAATATTATTTATTTAACACTAATTATTATTATTAATTATCATTTGTATTAGTAAGACCATATGAGTTCTGTTCTCAAAGATCTGTGAATTCGTTGGTTAAACATAGATAATTTTTAAGGAATCAAATTCATGGGCGCTTGTTATGTTTCAAAACTGTCCTTCGGGACTACTACATGGAAATAAAATCAAAACAAAAGGAAAATTTTATAAGAGAAACGAGGGGGGCGTGCCTGTGATTCTTTTATATATATGTATAATTAGGGCTTTTCACAACACCGTTTGACTCATTCATGTTTTAGTTTGCCACAAACTATTTGCCTTATATATACTTAATTGAAATCAAACAATGCATTTCTCCTATTTCTCCATATTAGTAAAGGACGTCACATCGTTTACTATAAATACATTTCTTTTGTAAAGAAGCCAGCATGCAGGTAAATGAAAGAGTACGTCTGGCATTCAGATAAGACATATATACATGACCTGAGTTTCACCACTGCAGGGTTTCTTTGTTTAAGACTGGCTAAGCCTTAGAAACGAAATAACAAAACACTGTTCATAGCTCAAGCAAATATCGTATTACCCCAGTTACTGCTCCTTCTCATTGTGATAACTGATTCAGAATAGCTATACGATTGAAATATCACAAATGACGCATACACGCACAATAACAAATTAATTCCCTATCGTGGTCAAGTAGGCTGCCGTATAACCACGATAAAAAATGTTTAATATTTAAATAATGACAATACTAGATTGCAAAACGATTATTAAGATACGATAAAAAGGAGGTACTTCAATAATCAAATACTTATAAAATTGGCTGACACAACGGCCAAAGCAACTTGAAAAATACAAGGTACTTTAAGAATCAAATAATGATAATATTTGCTAGCAGAACAAGTATATAAACACGATAAATAGGAGGTTCATTAATAATAAAATAATGATAATACTGGCCGGCACAACGACAACAGCAACGCTATAAAAAGGAAGTACTTTGATAATCTTATCAAAAATAAATTTTTAAACTCTGATTCTACGTGGAGATTATAAAGAAAAACTAATTACATGTTTAAAGTGACCATATCTTTAAACCTACTTGTACGAGGCCTGTGAGAAAAGTATCCGACCTTATTTTTTTTGCGATAACCTGATGGATTTGAATCAAGCGCGCTTGCATGAGCCGACCTTGAACCTTCGTGCGCATGCGTGAATTTTTTTCCCGCTTGTTGATTGCGTCATTTGTTGACAAGCTGCCATTGAGTGA